TACAATGCTTGATAAGAAATGTACTCATTATCTTGCCCATGTAATTGTAACCCCTCTGTACAGTATTTTCACAATAAAAATTAAAATTAAAAAAACCCAACAAAATACATACACAGACATACTTACCCCTCCCCCCACATGCATACAGACAGACACACACACACACACAAACAAATACACAAAATTAAGGAACAAATTGATTTTGCTGCTTATACTACAGAGCTTGAGAGCTGCAGGCTTTTAGCATGGAGACAGTGTGATGGGCAGCATCCTCTCTTTCTCTCCCATGTGGAATGTTTCCTTCTCCCCATACAGCCCTTAAGGAAGAAGGAGATCCATCCCTGAAGAGCCACTGGGTCCTGAACAGAATACACTTGCTGGCTGGTCACTGGTTCTATGTAATTCCTGGTGATCTTGCTTAGTTTTATCTCTCACTCTCTTTCTCTCTCTCTTTTTAATTGGTCATGGGGCTTGAACTCTGGGCCTGGGCACTGTCCCTCAGCTCTTCAGCTCAAGGCTAGCACTCTACCTCTTGAGCTACAGCACCACTTCCAGTTTTCTGAGTGGTTTATTGGAAATAAGAGTCTCACAGTAGCTGGGTGCCAGTGGCTCATGCCTGAAATTCTAGCTACTCAGGAGGCTGAGATCTGAGGATCTCGGTTCAAAGCCAGCCTGGGCAGGAAAGTCCGTGAGACTCTTATCTCCAATAAACCACTAGAAAACCAGAAGTGGTGCTGTGGCTCAAGAGGTAGAGCACTTGCCTTGAGCTGAAGAGCGCAGGGACAGTGTCCAAGCCCAGAGTTCAAGCCCCACGACTGAGAAAAAAAGTCTCACAGACTTTCCTGCCCAGGCTGGCTTTAACCATGATCCTCAGATCTCAGCCTCCTGAGTAGCTAGGATTACAGGCATGAGCCACTGGCACCCTGCCTATCTCTTCTTTTCCTTTCCTTCCTTCCTCCCTTCCTTCCTTTCTTCCTCTCTTCTTCCTTCCTTTTTTCCTTCCTTCCTCCCTCCCTCCCTCCTCCACCTGTCCTCCTTTTATTTCTTCTGGTGTGTGTGTGTGTGTGTGTGTGTGTGTGTGTGTGTGTGTGTGTGTGTGTGTGTGTGTCTGCCTTTCCTGGGGCTTAAATTTAGGGTCTGAGCACTTTCCCTGATCTTTTGTGCTGAAGGCTAGTATCAATTGAGCCACAGCTCTACTTCTGGCCTTTTGGTGGTTAATTGGAGATTAGAGTCTCACTAACTTTCCTGCTTGGGCTGGCTTCAAACTGTGATCCTCAGATCTCAGCCTCCTGAGTAGCTAGGATTAATAGGTGTGAGCCACTGTCACCTGGCCACTAAGCCTACTTTTTAGAAAGCTATTATTTATCAAGTACTTTCTGTGTTAAAAACTTTACATTTCTTTTCTCATTTAATCCTCACAATGACTATGAGCTAGATCCTATTATTATATCCTTTTTTATAGATTCAAAAAAACCCAACCTCTCAAGAGGTGAGTCAGAAAGTAATTGATCATAAGTCTTCTTTAATTAATAAGCAAAAAGTAAAGGCAGCTTCAAATCCTTTTGAATTTATACATTAAAAAGTTATTCATTTCCTGCCCATGTAATTGTAACCCCTCTGTACAGTATGTTCACAAATAAAATAAAATTAAATTTAAAAAAAAGTTATTCATTGCTGAGTGCTGGTGGTCTGTAATCCTAACTACTCATGATGTTCAAAGCCAGACAAGGTAGGAAGGTTTGTGAGGTTCTTATCTCCAATGTCAAAAGTAAAACTATAGCTCAAGTGGTAGAGTATTAATCTTGAATGAAAACACTAAGGAACAGCACCTAGGCCTTGAGTTCAATCCCCAGTACTAGCACACACAAAGTTATTCATGTGAAGCCTAGTACTTTAACAATTGTTCTTAGTAATAAATCATCACTAATGGTAGACACCAGTACAGATCCCAAACCCTTATCTGGACTATCCCTAGTCCCTTAAAGCTGAATCTCTACCTGAGCCCTTACTTTTGGGTCCTTACTTCCTTAGCCCCACTAAAGCCCCATGTCATGTTTAGGGTAGACAAACCTGCACCCTTACACTTGAGTGTGGACTCTTCGCCACCAGAACTTTGAAACCAAATCTTCACACCTGTCCCCCTCACCAGAACCTCCCTGAGCCCTCCTTTGAGGGAACAAGCGGATCCTACCTACTTGTGCCACTGGCTCCTGACACTGACTCTGTCCAGGGAGCAGCAGAAGACTGTGGAGAGCCAGGGAGTGGTGGAGTCAGGGGTGAGCCAGGAAAGTGGGAGTAGAGAACTCAGGGCCATCAGCCCCCAGCCCTGTTCCCACAGAGGAATGTTCCCACATAGCCCTGACCTCTCACCCCAACCCGCCTGGCTCTAAGGATCATTGCCTTGGCCATCCCTACTTCAAAGACCAGCAGCTGCCTCTGGAGGCGCTGGGGTGTTCCCATGGCAACCACGCAGGCTAGCTTGAGGGTGTGGCTGGGCTTCTTAAAGTCTTTTTTTTTTTTTTTTTGGGTCTGGTCGTGGGGTCTGAACTCTGGGCCTGGGCACTGTCCTTCAGCTCTTCAGCTCAAGGCTAGCGCTCTACCACTTGAGCCACAGCGCCACTTCCGGCATTTTTTCTTTTTGCTTATGTGGTGCTGAGGAATCGAAGCCAGGGCCTCAGGCATGCAAGGCAAGCGCTCTGCCACTGAGCCACCTTCCCAGCCCCAAAGTCTTTTTATTACTCCCAAAAAAGTCCTGATTCTCTCTTGATAACTCTCAGGGGTCCTATATATAGATTAGACTGTCCAGAGAAAGAGGGACCACTGTCCCCCACAAAGCCTCCCAACTCAGGGAAGAGAATGTTTCTCTGGCATCAGACAGAGCTTTCCTCAGACATTCTAATGGGAAGTTCAAGTTCTCCAGTCCTCCAGAGCCAACTGACATCCTAGACCCTGCTGGATGTCTTTCACCTCCTAGTATTCTCCCACCGTTCTGGTAGGTGGTGATGAAAGGATCTGGAAGAGTCTATACTGGTTCCTCTGCTCACCCCAGGCCGTGGGCCTGGTGGTCTACTGGATTGGGGATTTGTCCATTGAGTACCTGGTGGGAAGAACAGAGGAGACAGGGGGTGAGTGGGGGCTGGGTGCTCAGGGCTTGGTGACCTAGACAAAGACCTTGTGTGAGTGATTAGCTGTCACGTTGGATCTAAGCTCCTTACCCTCAGAATCTAGCGTCTACCTCCCAGGCCTAATCTAAGGGGGGGGGGGTGCTGAAGGCAACAGCCAGCTTATGAGTCTTGCCTTGGTGGGTTCCTGGTGACCCATTTAGCACAGCTAGTGGTGGCCATGGGGAGTCAGCCTTTTGTGTCTTCTTTGCACCTGTGAGTCTGTTCTCGTGGGCTTTCCAACTCCCTCTACTTTTTTTTTTTTTCAGTCATGGGGCCTGAACTCTGGGCCTGGGCGCTGTCCCTCAGCTCTTCAGCTCAAGGCTAGCGCTCTACCACTTGAGCCACAGCACCACTTCCAGCTTTTTCTGCTTATGTGGTGCTGAGGAATCGAACCCAGGGCCTCATGCATGCAAAACAAGCACTCTACCACTGAGCCACCTTCCCAGCCCTCCAACTCCCTCTACTTTTAAGTACATGCTTCTGTACTTCTCTCTGACTTCCCGTCTCTGCCAACAGCTCTGTGAAGACACTGTGGGTACCAAGAAGCATGCCACCACTAGACAATGGATCACAGAAGTCTTGATGTCAGGGCTATGGTTGATAGTCTTGAGGGCACAGACTGGTAGGTGATGTGGGATTTTAGATAGGACCTAAGTGGCAATGCATGTGGCTGAATTAGGGTTTGAGTAACACTGGGTTATTTGTATTTGACATATGGATTATTTTCCTAAGATAAAGTAGCTGTGCTGAAAGCATTGAGCCCCCATGCCATTCCCCACCGTGGCTGAACCGGAGATTAATGATGCCTTTGATATAACAGCCTTGGAGTGAAAGTGGTAACAGCTGGTCCCGGGGTGGGATGGGTGGGAAGGATGGTAGGGGTGGGGAGGGAGGAAGAGGACAGGGGAGAGGAGAAGAGGTAGAGATGATGAAGCCAGGAGAAGTAGGTCTAAGCGTTGGAGGCATGGCTGAGGAGGTAGAGTGTCAGCCAAGGAGCAAAAGTGATGTCAGAGTTGGAGTCCCAGACTTGGACCAGAGAGAGAGAAGAGAGAGAGAAGGATGGGAAAAGGAGAAAGGGAGAGGAAGAGGGAAAAGGGGAGAGAAGGGGAGAAAGAAGAAGGGGCAGAAGGAGGGAGAGAGGGAGAAGGAAAGGGGGAGAGAAAAGAGAGGAGGTAGGAAGGGAGAGAGAGAGAGTGAGAGAGAGAGAGATCTACACAAAACCTGATCATGAGATGAGGCTGCCATGGTTGATCCAACTCAACCTTGAGACTTTCCCCGGAGCATTGGCAGGGTCTAGTGCCATCAAATCCACACACTGACACATCTGCCATGATCACATCTGTGATCATGAAAGAATGCCTAGATCGTGGGAACATCCTGCCCTGGGGTCGGGGGCAGGAGAGGAGGGCAATGGATAGGGTGCTACTTCCTTCCTCTTCTGTGTCACCTGTTTCCTTCTTAGGTGACTAGTATAAGCCATAATCATCTGGAAACATGTGGGTAGGTTGGACAGGAAGAGGAAGATTCCCCAGGGGAGTGCTCAGACCCATTCTGCCACCAATTGGTGTTAGACATGGGATTGTAGTGCCCTCTCATGGAGGCTTTGAGAATTTAGGCATTATCAATCAGTCTGAATGAGGCAGATTATGGTAGGCTGAACCAATCCAAGGGACAGTATTTACCAGGAACTTAGCATTTAGAGAGGAAAGCAGAACACCACAATGAAGTTTTCTCTGTACAACTAATATATGTCAATAAAATAGAGTGGAAAATGCTTTCATAAGAATGCTGTGTAAGGAGCTGGGAAGGTGGCTCAGTGGTAGAGTACTTGCCTTGCATGCATGAGGCCCTGGGTTCAATTCCTCAGTACCACATAAGCAGAAAAAGCTGGAAGTGGGGCTGGGGCTCAAGTGGTAGAGCGCTAGCCTTGAGCTGAAGAGCTGAGGGACAGTGCCCAGACCCAGAGTCCCCTACGACAGATTAAAAAAAAAAAGAATGCTGTGTGATGACTGGGAATGTGGCTTTGTGGCAGACTTGCCTAGCATGCATGAAGCCCTGGCTTTGAGTCCTCAGAACCACATACGCAGAAAAAGCCAGAAGTGGTGCAGTGGCTCCAGTGGTAAAATGCTAGTCTTGAGCAAAAGAAGCTCAGGAACAGTGCCCAGTTCAAGCCAGGCCCTGAGTTTAAGCCCCAGGAATGCTTCCTCCCCAAATGTGGTGTTTAGCCCGGCACTGGTGGCTCACACCTGTGAATTACTCAGGAGGCTGAGGTCTGAGGATCAGAGTTCAAAGTCATCCTGGGCAGGAAAGTCTGTGAGATTCTTATTTCTAATTAACCACACACACACACACACACACACACATACACACACTGCTAGAAATAGAGTGGTGGCATAAGTGCTAGAAGACTAGCTTTGAGCAAAAAAAAGCTCAGGGACAGTACCTAGGCCCTGAGTTCAAGCCCCAGGATCAGCACACATACAAAAAGGCTGGTTGTAGCTTAGCAGTCATGGATTTGATCCCCCAGCAGCTCAGGGGATGAAGAGTAAAAGAACAGGTGAGTTAAAGGTTTCTTGTTAATGGTGAATGCTTTTATCATATTCTTTGATATGATAAGAATTAGAGGCAGTTGGTTAAAAATTAGTATCAGGGGCTGGGAAGGTGGCTCAGTGGTAGAGCGCTTGCCTTGCATGCATGAGGCCCTGGGTTTGATTCCTCAGCACCACATAAGCAGAAAAAAAAAAGCTGGAAGTGGCACTGTGGCTCAAGTGGTAGAGCACTAGCCTTGAGCTGAAGAGCTGAGGGACAGCGCCCAGGCCCAGAGTTTAAGCCCCACGACCAGACCAAAAAAAAAAAAATGAGTATCAGGGGTTTGCTTGGACTACTTTTTCTAAGCACCTAAAAGCAATTGCATTTTCCTTAACCTAAATTTCTCTTGGAAAAATTGCCTAGATGTTTGGTCAGATATAATGTGTTTAATTTATGAATCACAGTAAGATTTATCTTCCAATTAGACACATTAAAAAGTTGATTTATTGTGATTAGGGAACTTTTTATTTTGTGTGCAAATAACTTAGGAGGACCTTAGTTTAATGAACTATATTGTAGTAAATAATTCATGCAGAAAAGGACATTAATCATACATATTATGCATCATTGCAACTTGGACACATCTGAATAAACTTAGATATCTTCGTCTGTTGGGGTTACTTTAACAGATGCCTTCATTGGATGGCTTAAATAACACAGCTAGGTGCTGGTGGCTCACACCTATAATCCTAGCTACTTAGGAGACTGAGATCTGAGGATTACGGTTCGAAGCCAGCTGGGCAGAAAAGTCCATGAGACTCTTACCTCCAATTAACTACCCCAAAACCAGAGGTGGAGCTGTGGCTCAAAGTGGTAGAGCTCTAGCCTTGAGCACAAAAGCTTAGGATCAACACCCAAGTACTGAGTTCAAGCCCCATGGCTGACCACAGGCATTTGCTTCTCACAGTTCTCGAGCCTGGAAGTCCCAACATCAAGTGCCTGTAAGCCTAGGTCCTGGAGCAAGAGAGTTCTTTTCTCGGCTTACAAGGCTACCTTCTCACTGGGTTTTCAAACATCAAAGGCAATGAATGAGCAAGCCCTGCAGCCTGGGCCTCTTTGTGTAAGGGCACTAATACTGTCATAAGGGCCTCCCTCATGAACTCATGTAACCTCTTACACCCCAGTGGCACTATTCCCTAATATGATCATACTGGGGAACAGGCCTCAGCATGCATGTTTTGGGAAGGGCATAGCACTCAGTTCCTAGCAATAATCATCCAGAATGATGGATGCCTCTCTAGTATCATCTTTCAACCACTATCCTCCCTCTCTTCCCTAGGCAACTGTTCACCTGACTTTTAACTATACACAGGAGTTTTGCCTAGTTTTGAACTTCATATAATCAGAATTAGTGTACAGACAATGTGTAGTCATCTGGATTTATGGATGACCCTAGCCCTTTTTTTGTTTTTATTTTGTTTTGTGGGGCTAGAAAGTTGGCTCAGTGGTAGAGTGCTTGCCTTGCATGCCTGAGGCCCTGGGTTCGATTCCTCAGCACCACATAAGAAAAAAGCTGGAAGTGGTGTTGTGGCTCAAGTGGTGGAGCGCTAGCCTTGAGCTGAAGAGCTGAGGGACAGCACCCAGGCCCAGAGTTCAGGCCCTACGACCGGACCCAAAAAATAAATAAATAAATAATATTTTGTTTTGTACTAGTGCTAAAGGTTGACCCCAGGGTCTAGATACTGCCTTAGTTTTTCCATTCAAGGCTGGTGCTTTATCACTTGAACCATATCTTTGCTTCTGTTTTCTTGTTGGTTAATTGGAGCTAAAGAGTCTTATGGATTTGTCTGCCTAGACTGGCTTTTAACCAGTATCCTCAGATTTCAGCCTTCTGAGTAGCTAGGATTACAGTCATGAGCCACCAGCCCACAGCTTAACCATATATTTAATAGTTCACAAGTAAAATGCTATAGTAACGATTGTTTAAAAGTTGCTATTTGTGTGCACAAAAGCAATGAGTCAAGCTGGGCGCCAGTGGCTCGCACCTGTAATCCTAGCTACTCAGGAGGCTGAGATTTGAGGATAACAGTTCAAAGCCAGCTCAAGCAAGAATCCATGAGATTCTTTTTTTTTTTTTGGTTGGTCATGGTGCTTGAACTCTGGGCTTGGGTGCTGTCACTGCACTCTTCAGCTCAAGGTTAAGCGCTCTACCGCTTGAGCCACAGCGCCACTTCTGGTTTTCTAGTGGATTATTGGAGATAAGAGTCTCACGGACTTTCCCGCCTGAGATGGCTTTGAACCTCCATCCTCAGATCTCAGCCTCCTGAGTAGCTAGGATTACAGATGTGAGCCACCTGCACCCAGCTTTCCATGAGATTCTTATCTCCAATAAACCACCAGAAAACAGGAAGTGGTGCTGTGGCTCAAGTGGT